CCCCTCAGCAGCGACAGGTCTGCAGCAGCTGCAGCAGCAGCGGTAGCTGCTGCTGCAGCGAGGCTCCTTCACGCCTTAGGGGGGCCCCTGCATTTGCGTTGCTCAGTACACCTAGGGGGGCCCCCTGCAGAGGAGGGGAGGCTCCTGGGGGGGCCCTTTGTGGGGGGGTTACCCCTGGGGGGCCCCCTACGGAGTTGTTTTTCAGGTCTTTTCGGGTGTCTGCTGTTTTAATTAAATTAAATTTTGCTGCGAGGCCCCCTAATCCAAATGGCATTAGCCGAGGAGAGATTAAAGAAGTCTTCAGTCTCTTTGCTTCATGCTGCAGGTATGTGCGGGAGTTTGTTGATATGTAGATGGAGACAGTTCAGGTTGTTTTGTTTATTTGTTTGTTTGTTTGTTTGTATGCTTGTTTGTTTGTTTGTTTGTTTGTTTGTTTGTTTATTTATTTGATTATCTGTTTACTCGTTTGTTTGTTTGTTTGCTTGCTTGTTTGTTTGTTTGTTTGTTTGTTTGTTTACCTGTCTATTTGTTTGTTTATTTGATGCCTTTTTGTGTTTGCTTTTGTTTGAATGTCTTCTGTCTCCTTTCTGTCTCCTTTTTTAACCGCATTTCACTTCACCCTATTTTGTCTGCTAGCTCCCCAGATAGACCCCCATTCTACTCAAGATTTAGGGTTTAGGGTTTAGGGTTTAGGGTTTAGGGTTTAGGGTTTGTTGTTTTCAGGTTTGAGGGCATTGAGATGGCGGTGCCGGCGCAAGTGCTCTGTGATGTTTCTTCGGTAGAGTGTCTCTTCAGCAGACTCGCTACACATTGGCTAGCCTGCCTCAGCAGGTACACCTCAGCAGCAGCAGCAGCAGCAGCAGCAGCAGTAGCAGTAGCAGAAGCAGCAGCAGCAGCAGCAGCAGCAGCAGTAGCAGTAGCAGAAGCAGCAGCAGCAGCAGCATTACTGCTGCCGTCAGTCGCATACTGCTGACGTTCTTATTGATGATATTACGGTTGTTCTGTTTGCTGTGTGTGTATGTGTGTTGCTGCTGTTTCTGCTTCTGCTGCCCTTGCTGCTGCTGCTTCCTTTTCTCCTCCTGTTCCTGCTGCTGTTGTTGCTGCTGCTGCTGCTGCTGCTGCAGGGCTGTAATGCTGCGGTGTATCAACAGCGTGCCTCCCCTCAGCTGTCTCCTTAAGGGGGGTAGAAAGCTGAGGGGTTTGCTGCAGCGTATATTTAAGAGACGGCGAGGATGGGCGAGGAGGCCCCGCGGGGGGGCCCCCGGGGGGCCCCCCGGCCAGCGTGCTGCTGCTGCAGTGCAGCAGCTGTTCTCTTCTCTTGATGCGCCAGGGCTCGCGCTGCTGCTGCTGCGGAATGCTGCTGCTGCTGCAGCAAATGCTGGATTTGAGGGCCTGTGGGTTGTGCTGTCTCTTTTGGGGGGGGGCAGTCAGCCGTGGGCCGCCCACTGCCACTGCTGCTGCTCTTGCTGCTGCTACTGCTGCTGCACTTGCTGCTGCTACTGCTGCTGCACCTGCTGCTGCTGCTGCTGCTGCACTTGCTGCTGCTACGGCTGGTGCACTTGCTGCTGCTGCTGCTGCTGCTGCTGGTTGTGGTGCTGCTGCTGCTGCTGCTGGTTGTGATGCTGCTGCTGCTGCTGCTGCTCTCGTGGCTGCTGCTGCTCTCACTGCTGCTGCTCCTGCTGCTGCTTTTCGTGCTGTTGTTTTCGGTGGCATGGCTGGCGCAAGGGGGCCGAGTGTGCGTAGCGTGCTGCCTGCTCTTGTGCTGCTGTTGTTGCTTCTGCTGCTTCTGCTGCTACGACTGCTGCTACGACTGCTGCCACTGCTGCTGCGGCTTGTGCTGTTGTTGTTGCTGCGGTTGCTTTCGCGTATCTTGAGTTGTGTGGGTTTGTGGATATGCGCACGATCTGCTGCTGCTGCTATTGTTGCTATTGCTGTTATTGCTGCTATTGCTGCTGCTGCTGCTGCTGCTGCTGCTGCTGCAGGTGTCTCTCTGAAAGGGCCTTACGTGGGGTGCACACTCTGCTGTATTTGCTGGACCGTGCCTATACACCTGGGAGCTGCCCCCCATATCCTTCTGCTACTTTCCGCTCACGCAACAGCAGGTGCAGCGACGTGCTGCTGCTGCTAGTAGTAGTACTATACCTAAGCTGTTGTTGCTTGTATTGATGCTGCTGCTGGCTGCTGCTGCTGCTGCCGCTCTCGTGGCTGCTGCTGCTCTCACTGCTGCTGCTCCTGCTGCTGCTTTTCGTGCTGTTGTTTTCGGTGGCATGGCTGGCGCAAGGGGGCCGAGTGTGCGTAGCGTGCTGCCTGCTCTTGTGCTGCTGTTGTTGCTTCTGCTGCTTCTGCTGCTACGACTGCTGCTACGACTGCTGCCACTGCTGCTGCGGCTTGTGCTGTTGTTGTTGCTGCGGTTGCTTTCGCGTATCTTGAGTTGTGTGGGTTTGTGGATATGCGCACGATCTGCTGCTGCTGCTATTGTTGCTATTGCTGTTATTGCTGCTATTGCTGCTGCTGCTGCTGCTGCTGCTGCTGCTGCAGGTGTCTCTCTGAAAGGGCCTTACGTGGGGTGCACACTCTGCTGTATTTGCTGGACCGTGCCTATACACCTGGGAGCTGCCCCCCATATCCTTCTGCTACTTTCCGCGCACGCAGCAGCAGGTGCAGCGACGTGCTGCTGCTGCTGCAGCAGCAGCAGCCAAGCAGCAGCAGCAGCAGCAGCAGACGCCGGCCCAACACTAGCACTCAGGGCAGCAGACGGCTGCTGCAGAGAACACCGACTTCGCATGCATCTTGTGAGCAGCATTCAAGGATGAGAGGCCTCTTGATGCTAAGGGAGCCTAGATTGCTGCTGCTGCTGTTGCTGCTGCTGCTGCTGCTGCTGCTAGTAGTAGTACTATACCTAAGCTGTTGTTGCTTGTATTGATGCTGCTGCTGTTATTGCTGCATCTGGTGCTGCTGTTGCTGCTGCGTTTCTTGCTTCTGCCGTTCTACTGTTGCTGCTGCTGCATTGTTGCTGCTGCTTCTGCTGCTGCTGCTGCTGCTGTTGCTGTTACATTGCTGGTGTTTGCTGTGCTGCTGCATGCACCCAGACGAGGCTTCTTCAGCAGACGGGGGTTGCAGTTGGGGTGGCGGCCGCGAGAACGAAGGCAGCAACGAATGGGCTGTCGTGCACCTGGGCGCAGAAGGATTCTATGAGGTATGCACTTCGCTGCTGCTGCTGCTGCTGCTGCTGCTGCTGCTGTTGCTGCCGCAGCTGCTGGTGCTGCTGCTGGTGCTGCTGCTGATGTTGGTGTTCTGCTGCAGCTGGTGTTGCTGCTGCTGTTATAGGTATATCTGTTATTGGCGTTCATAATATAGAGCTGTCTTACCTGCTTCTGGTGCAGGCTTTGTGTTATTGCTGCTGCTGCTGCTGATGTTGCTGCTGCTGCTTGTGTTTGTATTATTGCTGCTGCAGCCTGAAGGCGTAGCGGCAGGCTTAGGAGATGCATGCCGCTGTGTGTCTCGAGGGTTTGTCTCTGCTCGCGATGTTTGTTTGCGTCTGTACACCGCAAACTCTGGCGGTATCGAAGTGCTGCAAATAGCGAGCCGTTTGTTTCCTTCAATTATACTGAGGCCCCTCTTGGGTCTCTCAGAGGGATGCACAAGGGCTGTTCAGGTGACGCAAACATGCAATGAGGGTTTAGGGTTTAGGGTTTAGGGTTTACGGGAGAGGGGGGTAGGGGTTCGCTGTTCAGAGGATAGTAGGCCTGTTTGCTTCCAGGGTTAGGGTTTAGGGTTTAGGCTGGCTTTAAGGTTTTGCTAGTGGGTGTTGGAGTTCAGGGGCTGCGGGGTTGGGCTTATTAGGGCTTAGGGTTTAGGGTTTAGGGTTTAGGGTTTAGGGTTTGTTCTTAGGGGGCCCGCAACCAACTGCGCCCGGCGGCGCGAGCGGAGTGGTTGGCTGGGGCGCGGCGCCCGCGGGTGGACATTGGGCAGATATGTTCTGATGAAGATGATGATATGCTTATTGCTTAAATTCATAGCTAGCTAGCTAGCTAGCTAGCTGCCTAGCTAACTGGCGGGCAAGGTAGCTGCCTGGCTTACTAGCTAGGTAGCGAGCTAGCTAGATAACTGGCGGGCTAGCTGGAGGGCTGGTTGAAGAAGGCTAGCTGGCTAGCCAGCTAGCTGACTAGCCGGCTTGCCAACCAACCAGCCAGCTACCTAGTTAGCTAGCTCGATAGATAGTTAGCTAGCTAGCAAGCTAAGGGGCATTCGCAGCTAGCCAAGGGGCGTCTGTCTTCGCTTGCTAGGCGTTTAAGAGGGAGATGCCCGGCTCGATGACTGCGCAACCCAGCCAGCAATATGCACCTCAGCTAGCTGGCTAGCTAGCCATCTAACTAGCTAGCTACCTAGAAGTACACTGCACCATCTAGCCAGCTGGACAGCTAGCTATAGGTGCACTGCACCGGTCAGCTAGCTAGCCAGCTGTGGATATAGCTAGCTAGCGGATGTAACAGGAGCTAACTAGCTACGCAGAAAGAACCGCAGCGGTTTGGCTAACTAGCTGCTGGCTTACTGGAGGCCCCCGCCCCAGCTGAGCAGCTCTGTATAAGCCTTCCCGCCCCCATCTAGCTAGCTAGCTGTATGGTTAGCTAGCTGGCGGTCTGGCTAGCTAGCTAGCCGAGCCTAGCTAGCTAGCGCTGTGAACGAACTACTAAGGGCCCCCGATCAACTCCGGGGGCCCCCCTCTCTAATTGCCTACGCCCCTCCCTATGACTGAATATTGGGGTATAAGGGGGGCCCCCTGGGGCCCCTGTGGTTCGTTGGTGTTGCTGTTGCTGCTAGCGGGGTGTCTTCAGCTGGTGCTCCTGCTGCTCCGGCTGTGTTGCTGCAGCAGCACCTGTAGCCAACTTCTTTGTTTGGGCTCCGCGGCACTCTAAAGATTTATTTATCTGCATGCAGCTATCAGTCACCTGTTGCAGCAGCTGCAGCAGCTGCTGCTGCAGCTGCTGCAACTTCTGCGGCTGATGCTGTTGTTTTGTTTCACTGCTGCAGCATCTGCTGCTAACGGGTGTCGTAAGGCTTCTAGTAATGGGGTGTACATACACCAGGCAGCAAAACAACAATAAACACCTCAAACCCTAAACCCTAAACCCTAAACCCTAGACGCCTCAAATCAAGTGCGACGAGTTAAGAGCGCTCACACGCCAAAATGGATGCCCCTGTGGGGCCCTCGTGCAGCAGCCTCACTGCCTGCTGCTGCTGCTGCTGCTGCTGCAACTGCTGCTGCTGCTTGTGTTTGCTGCTGCCGCTGCTTGTGTCTGCTGCTGCTGCTGCATACAAGCATGCATCATGTCTCCCTCCTGCTAACAGACATACAGCCCCACACAGCAATTAAAACCCAGAGGGGCCCCCTCCTGCACCGGGGGCCCCCTTTGGGGGCCCCCCTCCAAAGAGGCTAAACCCCGCAGTGGGCTTGGCTTCCGCTGCTGCTCCTGCCTGTCTGCTGCTGCTGTTGCTGCTGCTGCTGCTGTCTTGCTGCTGGCCCCCTAAGAAGCCAAAGATAGGGGGGGCCCCCCCCCCTTGCCCTTGGCTGGCGCCGAGCAGGGGGCCTCCAAATGGGGTTTGGGGGGCCCCTGCTGTACCCTCATCTCTGGGGCGAAACAAACTCTTTGCTGGTGGTTCTTCTCCTTCGCTTCTTCCTCTTCGAAGCCGAACCTGCTGCTGCTGCTGCTGCTGCTGCTGCTGCCCTCCTGCTGTGTCTTGTTCTGTTGCTGGCTTTAAATTAACACCCGAAGCAGCAGCTCCAGATGGGGCCCCTAAGGGCAGCAAACGCCCAAAGAGACTGGGGGCCCCCTTTGCTGCTGCTGTGCTGCTGCTGTTGCTGCTGCTGCCGCCAAATAAGGGAGGCTTCTCAGCTGCTGTTGTCGTATTGCTGCTGCTCCCAAAAACAAAGGGCTTGTTAGGGGCCCCTGCTGCTGCTGCTCCCGTTGCTGCTGCTGGTTCTGCTGCTGCTGCTGGTTCTGCTGCTGCTGCACCGCTACCACTGTTGCTGCTGCGACCAAAGACAAAAAGCGGTTTTGGTGCTGCGCTTGACGCCCCCCCGAAGAGACTAGGCTTGCTGCTGCCTGCTGCTGTGTCGCTGCTGCTGCTGTTGCTACTATTGCCGCTGCTCCCAAACAACGAAGGCTTGCTCCCTGCTGCTGCTGCTGGTGCTGCTGCTGCTGAGCCAAAGAGACTCCCCCCTGGTGCTGCTGAGCCGCTGCCTAGAGAGCCGAAGAGGCCCGTGCTGCTGCTACCGCCAAACAGACTGCCTGTGCCGCTGCTGTTGCTGCTGCTGTTGCTGCTGCTGCTGCTACCCCCAAACAGGGAGCCTGGTGCAGCAGCAGCACCCCCGCTACTCAACGGCTGTCCGAAGAGAGAGGTGGGCTGGGCGTTGCTGCTGTCGCTGCTGCTGTTGTTTTTGTTGCTGCTGCTGGTGTTGCTGCTGCCAGCGCCAAAAGTAAACAGCGAGGTAGTTCCCTTGTTGCTGCTGCTGCTGCTGTTGCTGCTGCTGCTGTTGTTGCTGCTGCCAAAAGTAAAGAGGGGCGGCGGCTTCCCACTGCTGCTGCTGCTGCTGCTGCTGCTGTTGCTGCTGCTGCTGCTGCTGCCACCAAAAGCGAACAAAGAAGATGCTGTGGGAGCTGCTTTGGGTATAGGGAGGTTGCCGAAGAGGCTGCCGCCAGTAGAGGCTTGCTGCTGCGGTTTTGCTGCTGGTGCTGCTGCTGCTGGTGCTGCAGCTTCTGCTGGCGTTGCTGATGCTGCAGCGTCTTCCGCAGCAGCACCACCACCACCATCAGCAGCAGCATCAGCAGCAGAGTCGTCTGCATCATCAGCAAAACCATCCGGCTCTATATGCACTTCACAGGGCTTCCCAACATTTGCTAGCCACCAAGGCACTGCAGCAGGTTTGCTGCTGCTGCTGCTGCTGTTGCTGCTGTCAGTGCTATCTTTGCTGTCGCTGCTGCTTGCGGGCTTGGCTGCTGCTGTTTCTCCGGCCGCCGCAGCAGGAGCGGCAGTGCCAGCAGCAGGAGCAGCAGCATTCTTCTGTTTGTCTTTGTCTGTCTCCTCAGATGCTGCAGCAGGCTTTTCTTGTTTATCAGCAGCAGCAGCAGCAGCAGCAGCAGGCGCCCCTGCAGCAGACGGGGCGCTGAATAGGCTGCGGAAAGGTGCTTCAGTCGCGCCATCTTTGCTGCTGCTGCTGCTGGTCTCTGCTGCTGCCTTGGGGGCCCCTCCTTCAGTGACTCCCGAAACCTTCTTCTGTGCTGCTGCAGCATCAGCTGCGGCTCCCCAGGGGTTTGCTGCTGGTGCTGCTGCTGCTGCTGCTGCTGCTGGTTTGGTGGCAGTTGCTGCTGCTCCGAAGAGGGCTGGCCACTTTGCTGCAGCAGCAGCTTCAGCAGAAGCTTCGGCAGCAGCAGGCGCAGCAGCAGCAGAATCAGTTGCTGCAGTTAGCTGCAGTTTCTTCTTGCCACCAAACAAAGGTGCTGCAGCTGCTGCTGGTGCTGCAGCAGCAGCAGAAGTATCTTCCGCTGCTGGTTTTGCTGCTGCTGCTGTGCTACTCTCTGCACCGAAACTAAACAAGCGTGGGGCCTGCTGCTGCTGCTGCTGCTGTTGTTGTTGTTTGTCTGCCTGTTGCTGCTGCTGCTGCTGCAAACCGAAAGAGAAACCCACAGCCCCAAAGAGGCTCCCAGATGCCTTTGGTGCTGCTGAAGAGACTGCAGCAGGTGCTGCTGCTTCTGCAGGTGCTGCTGCTGCAGGTGCTGCAGCAGCGGTAGTTTTTTCTGCTGTCTGTTTTGTATCAGAAGCGCTGCCTTCTATTGCTGCTGCTGCTGCTTCTGCTGCTGGCGTTTCCGCAGCAGTAGCAGAGCGGCCGGAGCCTGCTGCTGCTTCTGCTGCTGGTGCTGCTGGTGCTGCTGCTGGTGCTGCTGCTGAGCCGAACCCCCCAAATCCAAACAAACTTTGGGTGGGTTTGTCGCTGCTGCTGCTGCTGATGCTGACGCCTGCTGCTGCCCCTGTTGCTTTTGCAGCTGCTGCTGCTTCTTCATTTGCTGCCCCTTCAGATGCTGCCGCTTCCTTTCCTGCTGCTGCTGCTGCTGCTGTGTCCTTGGCAGCAGCAGCAAACAAGCTGCCTGCTGCTTCCCCAGCGACAACTCGTCGAGCTGCATGCAACGAAGGAGAGCCCCTGGTAGGTGCAGCTGTCTTCTGTGGGCTTGCTGCTGCTGCTGCTTCTTCTTCCGCTGCAGCAGCAGCAGCAGCAGCTGCTGCTGCTGCTGCTGGCTTCAGCGCCGCAGCTGCCTCAGCTAGCACTGTCTTTGCTGCTGCTTCCGGGGAGTCGTCTGCTGCTCCTGTAGCGTCATCAGCTTGCATTTGCTGCTGCAGCGTTTGCAGGAGCTTCTGGCGTCTCTGCTGCTCCTGCATCTGCTGCTGCTGCTGCTGCTGCAGTGCTGCCTCTGCTTCCGATTGAAATAACTCTAAAAGCCGCGACCGCCACCTCATCGAGTGGCATCGGATATATAGCTGCTGCAGCTCCGCTACAGAGACGTCTTCCTGCTGTTGCTGCTGCTGCTGCAGCAGCTGCCGTTGCAGTAGCTGCTGCTGCTGCTCTACTATAGCCTGCTGCTGCTGCAGTGCTGCGTCTGCTACCTCGGAAGGAGCCGAGAACATGAACGGGGGGCCCCTCCGCGTTTGCTGCTGCTGCAATAGCTGCTGTTGCTGCAGTAGCTGCTGCTGTTGCTGCAGCAGCTGCTGCTGCTGCCCAAGGTGTGCCAGGGCAGCGAGCTGCGGCTGCATCTGCTGCCGGGGCCCCAGGGGGCCCCCATTCTCCCCTAAGGCGGATGTGAATGATGCTGCTCCTGCTGTTGCTGCAGAGGCAGGTCGGTAGGCTCCGCTGCGGTGCTGCTGCTGGCGCTGCCTCCGCTGCTGCTGCTGCTGCTGCTGCTGCTGAGAGCAGCAGATATATGGGAGGGAAGATGTCGACAAGTCAGCTGCTGGTGCTGCTGCTGCGGCTGAAGGCTCCTGTCCCCAGCTTCCTTGGGGCCCCTGTTGATAGTGGATCTGCTGCTCTAAAGGCAGCTGCAGAAACTGCTGCTGCTGTTGCTGCTGCTGATGCTGCTGCTGCTTCTGGCAGCTATTTCGGTAGGGTGATCCTGAGGCCTCGCTGCGTGTCTCACTGAAGAAGGAGCTGCATTCGCTCACTAACCTACTGTGCTGCTGCTGCTGCTGCAGTTGCTGCTGCTGCTGCTGCTGCTGCTGCTGCTGCGCTGCGGGGGCCTTAGGGGCCCCTCCCAGGGCCCTAT